AGCGGCAGTGAGGTGCTTCAGGGGGCAGCAGCTACTCAGAGACGGTGGGCACATCCTCCACAGGGTATCATGATTAAGTGCTTACGGTTTTCTTTGGTTTTGCCCTCTATCTTGATTAGAATTTTGCAATGTTTATACTGCCACGCAGAATAAATGGAACCATAGCTGACTTTTCAAGCTGTGCGTTGCTGACATCATTATGTTTGTCACATTTAGACCATTTCTAATAGATACCTTTTTTTTTTTTTTTTTAACTCTTTAGCACATTGAAGGGGAACACAAGACTCCCTCCCTCCCTCCCTCTTTCGATGCTTCTTTCACTTTTACTTTCTCTATCCCTGGTCAAGAGGTGAGGGTCTCCCTGGAAATAATTAAAAATCAGAATAACAGGATAATTTTTTATATATTATCTCCAGGATCAACCTCCCTTCCCATATTATTGCTTACCTGCCCTAGTGTTCTATTGCTCTTGTAACAAATGACCATGAACGTGGCAGTTTAAGAAACACACATCTATCTTGCAGTGCTACAGGTTAGAAGTAGAAAAAAAGCCTAGTGCGCTAAATTCAAGGTCTCAACAAGGCTACATTCCTTTTCTAGAGGCTCTAGTTGGGGGGGAGGGAATCCATTTCCCTGCCTCATCCAGCTTCTATAGACTTTCCTTAACTTATAACTCCCTTCCTCCGTCTTCAAAGCCAGCAATGCGGCATCGCTCTGAATTCCTCTGCTGCCTCCCTCTTCCATATTTAAGGCTTTGCTTGCGTTGGGCTCATCCTGATAGCTCAAGATAATCTCTCTCTTCAAAATTCAGCTTATTAGCATCTAAACCCATATGTGAATTGAATTCTCCTTTGTCATGGAAAGTAACATATTCACAGGCTCTAGGCAGTAGAATGTGGACATCCTTGGGGGTCCATTATTCTGCCAACCACACATCCTATGACCCTCCCCAATTTGGGCAGCTGCATGCCTGAGGACCCATTATCCCAGGAGCAGATTAGCACAGCAGAATCACAACACCAAGCAAGAGAAGGAAATTTTTTTTTTTTTTAATTTTGGGTTTCAGAAATTGAGGTCTAATTAGAAGGAATAATGATAATAGTAATAATAGGGAGAATCTGTGATCTGTTAGAGAAGTGGCTTCCCTCCCACCCATAAAGACTACTTGATCTGGGGGGAAGAGAGCAATGTTGGAAGCCAAGCAAGATGACCTTGTTAAAGAGACCCTGTCTCTATTCCCACCAGGCTAATGACGCGGGGGGGGGGGGGGGGGTGGAAGGCAGAGGACT